AGCTGCAGATAAAAAGGAAGGGGCTAGTAGTAGCTGCAGGAGCAGATTGGTACAGCAGGTTATTAGTCTGTCAGCAGGACAGGAACAGTATTTTACCAATGGTTCTCCATTCTTCAGTAAAAAAATGGTGTGTGTTAGAACAGCCAGGTTTTCAGTACTACTCAACTTTGTGATCTAGTTCCCGTAACAGCTACAGGAAACACACATACATAGCTGCGCACTCCTATGTTGTCACAGCTGTAGTCCCATAATTAGGGAGTTCAGTTTTCAGGGAAAGGAAAGAGGCAGTAGTGGTTTCAAAACTAGAATTTAACCACAAGAACCAGCACTGCCACCAGATCTCACAAGCTAAGCAGGGGTAGATCAGCACATGGAAAAAGAGATGACCAAAGCAGAACTACGTGATTAAGGACAACATTGTCACATTACACTGCAGCCTTTTCCATGACCACAGCGGACCAGGAAAGGTTTTGGAGAGTTTCCCATTTCTTGGTGTGGACAGTACAGTCTTGGTTTGTCTGGTAGCTAGAGGGCCAGGACAAACAGGAGGCTGTTAGTATCCAATACATTCATTGTAACTAGGCCCTGTGACAATCAAACACCAAACTCATTAGACTTGTTACATAATTCCTACCATCTGCTCAGAGACTGCAAGACAGTCAGACCCTCTTCTAAGAAGTTTGTACACAGCAATAGTAGAGGAAAGTGTTTCTAATGAGTCATGTCCAGAGAAAACAAAGAGCCTTTGAGTTCAATCATTCTACTCTTCTGCTTTACTGCAAGGGAATTTCACAGTTTCACTACATCTGCCTCAGCCACCAGCTGTTAATAAAAAGCTGATATTAACCCAATAAATATTCATTTATAACAAACTCTGCAACAGTCAACTAGTTACTTTCATTATTACCAAACAAATGCATTTGGGGTCCACAGGACTGAATAGGAGAGAGCTTGATGAAGCTAAAAGCTGTGGAGTAGCACAAACCAGACTCCCTGCTAACACCCTCGGAGCTCTGCACATGCATGCATGGAAGAGGTGGCTAGCTCTGCAGCTGTAGGCTGCAGCCTACGGAGTGAAAGAAAGAACCCCAAGTAGTATAATTCAGCTTTTTTATGAAGTTATTCAGAAAAACTTATTATATGCCCAAAACACTCTACAAGTAAGGTGGGAGTGTTTTTTACTGTCCACAGTGATGGGGCCAAAGACCAGAGGGTTTTTTTTCAGACCATGGCTGCTAAGCTGGAACCTACCAGCATAGAAAACCAGGAAATAGGCTAAGCATCAGCAGATTTTTAGTCTCCATGTAGGCAAGCACTGAAGCACCAAAATATTTGTGGTTGCTTGTGCCTACAGAAAAGCAGCATGCTTAAGGAAGAGCTGCAGAGCCAGCTGGGAAGAAAAATAAAATAATCAAAATCAAATGAGGTCATTTATGTGTGAATTATTTCAATAAGTGAAGTGGGACAGGAGAGTGCCCAAATCTGTTTTCATTGGATGAAGGAAACAAACTTTTGCTAGAGGAAAAAGAAAATTAAACTTATTTAGAGAAATGCATTTTTGAAAAGTATAGTCATTTCTGGCTTGTACCTAAACCTCAGTTTACAGGAGGCAATAGAGAGACAATAAGAAAGAGTCCTGTTGCTATATTTTACCTATGACCCACCAGTGATCACTAACAGAATAAGATACTGGGCTAAAGGGACCTCTGGGTAGATGATTTTATGTTCACGATTTTCTTCACAAGCTGCCCTGAAGCTTTTGGAGTGGAGACACCCAGGTTTCCACATTTAGTTGCAAACTTCAGACTTAAATCAACTCAGAAACTACGAACTATGCCACCCTGTTTCTTATTAGGATGTTACTTCTGGATGCACCAAGGAGATTTTAGAGAAGCCTGAAAATTCTTCAGACGGGATTTGTTATTTATGTAGATGGGGCATGAACAACTTCTTTTCATTCACTTTTGGTATTTGTTATTAGTACTTATACGCTAGTGAACCAGTCATTTACCAATCTCTAACAAACAAGCCCCTCAGCCCTGCCTTCTATGAAGAGTTATTTCCAAAGTCTTTAAGCACCTTAGGTTTAAGTGGTCTTATTTAAACATCTTTCTCATTGCTTCTAACACTAAAAAAATTAGATTAAATGTGAAGAGTTGAATTTACTAAAATAGCAGGTGAGAATACAGGCACTGTTGAAATGATAATTCCATAAAGAAAAATGAAAATGCTTTTTTATATTTACCCTTGACATTTCTCGGCCATGTTTAATGTTCTAGCTGGAACTGGAAAAGGGTTTTTCTTCCTGTTTAGTAAACCACTTTCCTCAAGTTGCTCATTACATGACATATATAGCTTTTATTAATGGTCTTAAATGTTGCAAGGTAATGGGGTTTAAGAAAAGCAGTCTTCCACATTTTACCAGATAGGCATTGCACATGAGGCACTGAATTCTCACCATGCATGGCGTTCTTTACACTCATATAAGTGTTTTCAGGCATTCGTGTATCAGTTAAATCAAAGGCCTTGAAACCATATCGGTTTCAGCAGCTCCACATGCCTGGTGAGCAGAAAATGCAAGCAGGGCATTCTAGACAGGCCAGCTGGTAAGAGTTTTCTTGCTTACAAAGAGCAGACAAGCAACTCAGTTGTGATCTGACTGAGGTTAACATCAAGACCCAAAAGGAGTTGAACAGTGATTAGATTTCCTGTTCCCTTCCTTGTATTTAGACTATTTAAATGTCAGTTTAGCACTTATAAAAGGGATCTGAGTAGCACTCCTGAAGCAGTTCTTTAAGTGGGGATTAGTTTCAAAATTCATAACAGCCCTCAGATTCAGAGACTGTCAACTCCCACCCATCAGTCATTTTTCCTGTTAAGACCTAGCACCTTAAGGGAAAGGAGTTCCCAGCTTTCCATGACCACCTAATGCTTCTGAGACTTTGCTGTGGCATCTGTTCATTGAAATCTCTGGTAGTCAGGTGCGGAGCACTTCGCAATGATACCAAGTTACTCACTATCCTCTCCCATGAGCCAGCAGTGTGCCCGTGTTCCCAAAAGACCAATGGTATCCTGGGGTGGATTAAGAAGAGTGTGGCCAGCAGGTCGAGGGAGGTTCTCCTCCCCCTCTACTCTGCCCTAGTGAGGCCCCATCTGGAGTACTCTGTCCAGTTCTGGACTCCCCAGTTCAAGAAAGATGAGAAACTACTGGAGTGAGTCCAAAGGAGGGCTATGAAGATGATTAGGGGACTGGAGCATCTCTCCTATGAAGAAAGACTGAGGGAGCTGGGCTTGTTTAGCCTGGAGAAGGCTGAGAGGGGATCTTGTAAATGCTTATAAATATCTTAAGGATGGGTGTCAAGAGGATGGGGCCAGACTCTTTTCAGTGGGGCCCAGAGACAGGACAAGGGGCAACGGGCACAAACTAAAGCAGAGGAAGTTCCATCTGAACATGAGGAAGAACTTCTTCACTCTGAGGGTGCCGGAGCACTGGAACAGGCTGCCCAGAGGGTTTGTGGCATCCCCTTCTCTGGAGATATTCAAAACCCACCTGGACACAGTTCTTTGCAGCCTGCTCTGGGTGACCCTGCTTTGGCAGGGAGGTTGGATTAGATGATCCCCAAAGGTCCCTTCCAACCCCTGACATTCTGTGATTCTGTGATTCTCTCCAGTTTGGCAGGGCAGAGCTATAGTAAGCAGATGGTATGCAGGCAAATGCCTGAACAGCCAAAGGAGAATACTGCAACACTACCCCACAAAAGTTGTCTTAGAATAAATGGTACAGTAGCATTTCCGAGTGACCCTGCACTGATCACAATGATGGGATGCAAAAGGTTTGAGCAATTTTATGCAGTTGCTGACACTGTTCTGCATGGAGGTTTGTATTTATTAGGAATTCTAGGAAGACATGACCCTGAGATGCTTTACTGCAGACGATAAGGCAGCTGGTTCCACCTCTGCTCAGTCAAATACCCTCTGCTGAATGCAAAACAGTTAGTCATTGAGCTTATGAAACTGCCACTATCTAGAAACCTCCAAAATCAAGTTTTAATACTCGGAGCCCCATACAGAATTCTGAGCCACTTAAGATTTTAATTTAATTTGGCAGCTTAGAGTATATTTAAAAATGTGAAGATGCAACAAGGATTGGGCCTGCTGAGTTGATCATTTGCAGAGCTGGGTCTGTGTACTCTCTGCACTGTGTAGCTGGTGTTCCTCTCCAGCAAGCAGAGAGGGACAGGCTGTCCAAGAGTACCTTATTATGACCATATCACTATTTTGTGCAAATTCATGATTCACTGTGTGTCTATGGGGAAGAACGAAAGCAAATTCTTAATACCTTTATTTGCAGAACAGGCATAAACAGAGACAAAAGGATTTGCCAGAGGCCATAAGGGCAACAGCAGAAGCCATTTTAGGACCCATATAAGAATTCTCTTCTACAGTATCCGAAATAAGTGTATTAAATAATCTGACAAATATTTCAGTATCAGCTATTTATTCGTGTCAGGAACTGTGTCACTTTGTGTGATTGCAAACTTCAGGCAAACAAAGGAATATGTAATAATCAAATCTTTAAAAGATTAGAACCTTACACTTTAGAAATTAATCATTTCTAAAACAAAGGCAAATGAGGAAGAAGGGGAAGGTCATGAAAAGCTCCCTGATAGACCAAAATCTTTTCCCACAAACAAAATGCTTGGACATTGTGCAAACATACGTACAGAAAGATTTGTTTGATTTCTTACCCTCTAAATCTGTTCCCCCCACCCCACTGAGGAGAGCATGGAAAATTAACTTGCCTCAAAAAAAATAAGCACAGCAAGTTGGCATTTATCAGTTCCATACATTGGGAATGTCTGTTTGTGACAGCGTTTTTCATTAGCAATATAAAAATATTATTGCAACTCCTGTACAGAGCTGAAGGGTGACAGTCAGCATGACAGATTCCAATACATTTCCAAGAGAATCCCGGAGTGTGATTACCAGCAATTTCTTACCTGACAAGATAGCAAATTGCCTGTGGAGCTGCTCTATTATATCCACTGCAACCAGCGGCCGTATCTCCTGCTGCATGATTTCATCTGTGCAAGGGAAAACAGAAATCTTCAATGAGTTAATAAAACCTTAATGACAATTTTTACATCCTTCAAGAACCCAGTGAAACAAAGATGACACTCAAAGGAGAGAGCCTGGCTTGACTAGCGATTCAGATGTTCTATGACTGTCACAAAGAAGCTTATGATATTTACAAAATGTCATCTTCAGCCTACTTACTTTATCTATCGCTTCGTGATTGCAGAGAGAGCTTTTCACAAACCAGCTTCAGTAGATTTTCCAGAGCTTGTCACAGGTTTGCTCAAGTTGACAGCCTGCTCCATGCTACTTCATGTTCCCTATTCAGCCACTGCATTTGTCTTCCCACATAAAGCAGCTTTTCACTCTTTGAAACAGTGAAGTCTATCTCACATACAGTGCCATGTTCCACCCTGAACTCCCTGGTCTTGGCTTGAGGACTTTGTGTAACCAACCAATCCAGAACAGTTTCCTTTGTTGATGCTTTTTCCGCTACAAGCAAATACACAGTAAAAGGAGGAAATAACGGGCTGTGAGGTTTTCTTCTCAGGAAAACATGCCTATTCTTTTGAAGTAAACACTGAAAAGTTAAAAAATAATTTGGCAAGCAGCTGAGGAAAAACCACCACAATTTTTGTGTGATTTATTCAGTGACCAGCAACCATAATCTCACATTTGATCTTTTTCTGTAACAGGTGTACCCAATTCTTCCCCCCACTCTTCACCCCAGTCTACAGGGCCCCTGCCAGTGCAACTGGCAGGATCCAGGTTTACGTTACAATAGCACCTATTATAATTAGGCCCTTAGCCACTGTACAGCTACAGAACAACCACCAGTCTTGACTTTGTACAGCTCACCTCTAACTGCCCAGACAACTGATGGAAGGAAGGAAGCTGGGTCCAGACAGACCACAGACCAGACTAAAGGCAGGTGGTTGCTCTGTTTAAGCACCAAAATCTTCGCTGATGTCAGTACAATGCAGGCACTGAAATACTTCAGTGCACCTAGTTTTAAACAAACTGTCCAGAAAGAGAGAGGGAGGTCAGAAAGGTTAGAACTTAGCTTCTTTCTTCTGTGTCCTAGTCTGCTGCCCAAAATACCATCTCTGTCTTGTTTTCAGATATTCGCTCTGATCCTTTCCAGAGCTAGGGATTCTAGGTTTTAAATTACACAATGTCACTTGGAAACTTTTCATTCCCTAATTCCTCAGGCTCAATTGACTTTCAGACACTTCACTAATGCCTTGAGACAAAGTAACGGAAGAGCATGTGTCATTGCCCTCTCCTAGACAAACAGTGACACACTATGGAAAAAAGTTGCATAGATTTTGGCTCACGCACAAAACAAGGCAATGATTCCAAGCAACTGAAAAAAAAAAAAATCTCAAGTGGGCTGATTCTGCAAATCCTCCCTTTGAACTAAAAAAGGGGAAAGTCAAACTAGAATGAGTGATGGTTTTTATGTGGGACCTTCATTTCCATCCTGTTTATGCAGCCCACTATCAGCTTCTCAGACTCTTGACATGACAGGTGGCTAAAAGCAACCAGGAGGACAGACTAATGAATCACAGCCAAAGAGTTTGGATTCAGCGTGTTCATAGAACTCAGTGTAATTTCAGTCTACTGCTATGGTCATGTATTTACACTGTTGCACAGAGTTAGCAGAGCTAAGGCTTAGCCTTGGACACAGACTACTTAATCTTTACTTTGAGCAGAGATCTACTGCTCCGAGTAACCACGCTGGGCATCTGCAGACCACTCAGCCATGCAGTTACAGCCCAAGAGCCCTGCATCTCAGTGTGTGAGCTATGCTCACTTATTTGAATGTGTGGTTCCTAGTCACCAAATGTATTTTATATTACCTTCCTCATCACCTAAATGGAGCACAAGAGTTGTCCAAGATCTGACTGTGTCAGGTACAGCGTGTATGCATAAGAGATCAGTATGACTCTAGATGTCCTGAACTGGTAGGGGCTGCAGGTAGGGAAGAGAGCAATTTGTTTCAAAAAGCATAGTGGGACAACTCAGATTTGTGCCTTATTCTCTCAGTCAAAACCTGAATATGCAGTAGAGATCACAACACATCAGAAGGTAGATCCAGCCTTTGCAGGAAAATCACCATATCCTCTCCCCAGCCCAAGGCACCAGAACAGCAACAATGAAAGGTACATCCCAACGCAGCTTCGCAACAGCATCTTACACACAGACTCATGACTTGGCCAGAGATGTCTGTGTCAAAATCAAGAGAGTTTGCCTTTGCTTGGGATGGCAAGAAATATTATAAAGCCCTGTTGCTCTCAGCTGACTGACACAGCTTGTCCAAGTAAGATAAGGGATCCTGGTCATTCTGCCAGGTACAAATACATTCTAACACCAGCTGAGTGTTTGTTGCCTCACCTGCTCTGATGTATTACACTACTTCATAGCAGCCACAGTGCAGTGATTGTCTGGACCAGCCCATCACACCCTCTTGCCTCCAGCCTTGATCACTGCAGCATAACTGCTAAAAGCAATGCACACCTACCTGTAGAAGTGTGTTGTGCTACACAGAGTGCCAGTAGTGGATGACCTTCCAGTGCATCACTGACGTTGTTCTGTAACCTGCCTGGGGAAAACAGACTCATGTCCTTTCTCTCACCATGACCCTCATGACTATATTTCACAAGGCTTCTATAACTAACAGGCCAAAGGGACCAAAGACTGCACAAGGCCAGTACAGGGCTGGTCTCTTCCACTTAAGCAGCATATGCTCTTCTCTGTGCTGTATTTGTTCTGCAAGTGCTGAAACAGAATCATTCTCCAGGAGTGGTACAGCCATTAGGACCTTTTCATCAGCAGGACACTCACTTGCAATTGATTTTGAAGTAGGACAAAAGCCTGCAAATTTCTAGACAGAGCAGCAGAAAGTCTAGAACAGTAACATTGTTCCGAATCTCTGTGTCTGTAGGCACCACAGACTGGAGATAACTTGGTGTTTATGGTCTGTGGGAATCCATTGAAATGGATAGTCAAGCTAAGCTCAGTACATCATCTTCGGCAAATTGTATTCAGTTTCTCAAAGGAAAGCCCACTGAACAGCTAGGGACAGAGAACGGATTTCCATTCTATGCCTTTACAAATATAGTTAGCAATCCAATTTGCTGGGCTTTGCTTTCAATACAGCACGTGGTCACTTAGAGACTGAATGATGGAACAGCCTCCTGATCTCCCCACAGGTATCCTATGATCCTACCTGACATTATTCAAGGCAGCTGTGTATCATTCTGCAGCAGTAATCTCACCCCTCCTCCACAGCTTTTTTTGTGCATAGGAAGGACATGTGAATTGGCACAGCATCACCTGTCTTGCACATCTGTCACAGACAAAGCATGGAAGTGAGACGACCCGCAAGGTAGTTCACAGCCTGCCTCCCCGAGCCCACCTAAAGTGAGTTCTATGCAGATTCATTATGTACATGGCGGCAGCACAGAGATCCCAGCCAACAGACACGTGGTGCTCCAGGTTTTGAGGAAACTCAGAGGGGCATGTATACATTCCCAAAGTAAGCAAAATAACAGTAACCCACTAATTTTTTCCTTTTTTACTCTGCCTTTTCCCCCATGCGTGGCCAGAATGGGATCTGTGGGGGAAACGGCAGAGTGAAAAAGGAAAGGCAAAACAAAATAATTTTGAATGTACAAGGTTGGTTATTAGAAAGCAGAGAACACCAGAAGCCTGTTTTCTCTGTTAGTTGCTTAAGGACAGCATGTTGATAGCCCTGTTTAGAGTCAGATAAATAGTACACCCAAGGAACCAGCAACAAAAAGGTTCTGTAATCTATGAATACAATTCTCAGCAGGTACTGACAAATGCCTCCAGACCGTTGGTCAAAGACTTCTAGCATCCTTCAGACAGTCTACTTGAAGTGTTTTTGAATCACCATACTGGGAATAGATACACCCTTTTAAAACCACAGGTTGGCAGCAAGATGGAGGCAGAAGAGAAAAAAATGGGTATTTAGAGGTGACTATAGTTGAATCAAAAAAATGGCAAAAAAAATCCCAACCCAGAAGTAGGAAAAAAACCAAAATAATAATTAAAACAGAGCTTGGACTCTCAGAACCAAGAAACCTTGGAGCATCCATAGAAGAAAATACTGTTGATTTCAGCATCCAGAAGATGCAAAGGTATTGTGACAATGGTGCAGTCCCACAGGTAGATAGGTGCACTCTGGTTTGGGTGACCGGGCCTGAGCTTATGCCAAACAGTTGCAAAAATGGAGCAAAGGTTTCTACAGTGGAATGAGACAATCACAAGGAGGCTCAGCAGACATGGAGAATGAACTAGAAATGTGCCACCATCTCTAGCCTTTCGGAGGCTTGCTCATCCCTCCAGAGTAACAAACTTGCCAGTGCAATAGCTTGCTTTTCATGTTTGCCAGTATGAAGGCATCATTAGTATCAACCAGTTTTGAGCAAAACCAAAATTTCCCCCCTCCCACCCTTCATATATCTGCTTTATTAGCTTTCTGTAAAAATAGCTTGATTTCTGGTTTCTAAAGGTCCTTTTTCTCCCAAAAGAATTTTGTGGTGTCAGGGTAAGATGAAGTAATAGAAACAAGAACTGCAGAGTGCCAGTTAGGTCTCAGCAAATCCCCTGCCTGGGCAAGACTCTCTCCAGTACGCCGCATGGGATTTGCTGTAAAACCCACACTCAGCAGGAGACTTTCAGAGGATGAGAAAGGTGATATAAAATATATTTGGTGACTAGGAATCACATGTTCAAGTAAGTGAGCATAGCTGACACACTGACATGCACGTAAAAGAAATTGTAGCAAAAGAAACTAGCAAGAGAATGAGAAGATCTGAGGAAACAAGGGAAGGTGCCTCATGAGCCCAAATGGCAAATCAGATCACGTGGCTACGAAATGCCAGTAGCTGCAGCCAACAGCACACAAAGTAACATTTGCCCTCTTGCATCTTCCTCTAGGACAGTGCTTAAGGGTAGTTACTCTCCAATACTTATGAAA